GGACGTCTGCCGCCGGCTGGGGACGTCTGCCGCCCGGCTGGGGACGTCTGCCGCCGGCTGGGGACGTCTGTCGCTGGCTGGGGACGTCTGCCGCCGGCTGGGGACGTCTGTCGCCGGCTAGGGACGTCTGTCGCCGGCTAGGGACGTCTGTCGCCGGCTGGGACGTCTGTCGCCGGCTGGGGACGTCTGTCGCCGGCTGGGGACGTCTGTCGCCGGCTGGGGACGTCTGTCGCCGGCTAGGGACGTCTGCCGCCGGCTAGGGACGTCTGCCGCCGGCTGGGGACGTCTGTCGCTGGCTGGGGACGTCTGTCGCCGGCTGGGGACGTCTGCCGCCGGCTGGGGACGTCTGCCGCCGGCTGGGGACGTCTGTCGCTGGCTGGGGACGTCTGTCGCCGGCTGGGGACGTCTGTCGCCGGCTGGGGACGTCTGTCGCCGGCTGGGGACGTCTGCCGCCGGCTGGGGACGTCTGTCGCCGGCTGGGGACGTCTGCCGCCGGCTGGGGACGTCTGTCGCCGGCTAGGGACGTCTGTCGCCGGCTAGGGACGTCTGTCGCCGGCTGGGGACGTCTGCCACCGGCTGGGGACGTCTGCCACCGGCTGGGGACGTCTGTCGCCGGCTAGGGACGTCTGTCGCCGGCTGGAGACGTCTGCCACAGGCTGGGGATGTCTGCCGCCGGCTGGGGACGTCTGTCGCCGGCTAGGGACGTCTGCCGCCGGCTGGGGACGTCTGCCGCCGGCTGGGGACGTCTGTCGCCGGCTAGGGACGTCCACGACAGGCAGCTGTACGCTCGGCCCGCCGCTGTTCTGGGTAGCTGCACCCTCGGCCAGCCGCTGGCCTGAGCAGCTAGACCCTAGGCCCACCGCTGGTCTGGGCAGCTAGACTCTAGGCCCACCGCTGGTCTGGGCAGCTGGACCCTAGGCCCGCCGCTGGTCTAGGCAGCTGGACACTCGGCCCACCGCTGGTCTGGGCAGCTGGGCGGTGGGCAAACCGCTGGTCTTGGTAGCTGCACCCTCGGCCCGCCGCTGGTCAGGGAAGCTAGACCCTATGCCAACCGCTGGTCTGGGCAGCTGGACCCTAGGCCCACCGCTGGTCTAGGCAGCTAGACCCTAGGCCCACCGCTGGCGTGGGCAGCTAGACCCTCGGTCCGCCGCTGGTCTGGACAGTTGGACGCTCGGCCAGCCGCTGGCTCTAGTCTCTGGTGCTGACGCCGTGGTGACGAGACTGAGACTCCCGGGACCGTGACGGGCCGACTCTGTCGGCACGTCTACCCCACACTCAGGCAAAGGGAAACCGGCGCTGGACGTTGACGGCGGACCGCCCACTGTCCTAGATTTCGACAACATTCGGCCTCCGTTGTTGTCCCATGTGACGGGATGTGGCCTCTGTTGTCGTCCAGTGTGACGGGATGTGGCCTCTGGTGTCGTGCCGTATGCCATTCTGGAGCCTTAGCAAAGGTCGATGCTATCATGAAAGCTGATAGCCTTGAATTGAAGGGGCTGGCGGCTGCGGCAGCCGCAGCAGGCCTAATGTCCGGAAGCCCCGGCACGAACCCTGCAGCACTTTTCTCCTACGCAGGAAGCGGACTTTGCATAATTATCATTCGCAGCAATGTTATGACACTTCATCCTAAGCACTTAAGCTGCCTCTCGCAATAAACGCACAATTGAACGAGGATTAGTTATATGTATGTTACCTACCTAATAACGAGAGTGCTGGGTTTGATTCCTGGCGGCGCTCAGCCTTCCTGCCACGCTGGGAGGCAGGCGACGCTTTATAGCCTCAGGTGCATCGTGTAGACGTAGTGACGACGACGGCTAAACAACAGACCGAACGTGATGACAGGAGGCTCCAATATCCCATCGATCACTAGGAGACCATTACAGCGATGTCTGGGTACTTCTAGAAACGTGCGTATTAAAACGATGCCGACTCATCTAACGTAAAATTATTGTCGTGCCTCGTCCCGCAACGAGCAGTCCGTCTCCAAATGTTGTGTTGTTTGCTCTGAAAAGCACGAAACTGTCATCATTCGAAGCTATCCATTGTTTGACGCATTAATTATGTAGGCACAAGTAACAGGCCATATTCACGCTGCTCAACAAAAGCGCGATATGTGTGAACGATGAGCTGATGTGTCTCACGATAAGCAAGTTTCCCCGCGCCAGTATGACAGCTCTGCCTCAAGGGCCGAAGAACGGCTCGCTTCGACAGAAGACAGCGGATATTAATATCGCGCCGTGCCGGTTACAAAACTCAGTCTTGCACGAGTTGCTGAAGTGCACTGTGTTACATGCACTAGTGTGCGCATGTAAATGTCACATGATTTTGTTGGCTTCAGTTTGTTGTATGATGCCCTTCATCACGCCATTTGGGTCTACTCGCCGGGATAAATGCAGTGAGCTGGCTGGCTAGAGATAACAGGGACAGCTTATACTATGGGAGAGGGATCTTTTTTACTTCAAGTACTCAGGTCGTTCAGTCATCCACTTACCAGCAGCTCGACTTTAAGGCAGCGGCCTGCATTGATGTGTTGTCTAGCCCGCATTGGCCTGTCACACAAACGTGCGCAGGCGTATTTAGCCTTCAGAAGAGATATTCTTCAGAGTCAACACTTGCAGAGCTGCCCAGCGGTTTTTAAATGCTTTCGCGAGCCAGAGCAGGCTAATTTCCAGCAACGTAGACGTACACGTGACGTCAGTGATTTTTTAGTGGTTTATTTAGCAGCGAGCTCTGATTTCGCTGGAAACACGTCACGTGGTCAATTCTGGAACGAGAGCACTGAATCTGAACTGGGATATCAACCAGTGCATGAACTAGCGTCCGTCACAGTCCTGTCTCATAACAGTCCTGAGCCCTCTAGTTCACAATTAAAGGTTGAATTCAGGCTCAATTGGCGGATAATTTTACACCACCCAAAAGTTAACGGCCGATTTCGAGTATTTAAGGATCAAAATATTTACCAACTCATTACATAGCGTCCTATAAGAAGTCCTGACCTCTTAATGTCATTTTTCAAAGTCAACTGACTGGGAACACCACATTACCCGAAAGTTACCGGCCGATGTCTGTGGCAATGAGAGACAATCACGTGATACAATCAATCATGAGATCAATCAGTCAATCACGAGACCGGAGCAGAGTAACAATGAGAGACCAAACGATTTTTAAAACGGCGCTTGTTTATGCGCTGCAGAGATTCTGATGCGTAAGAATCCCAAACTGGCTGACAAGATTTGAACGGTTTGAAATTTCTGGTCATTTGAAGTTGAAGGACAGCCGTCACAGGTCAGGACTCTTTGAAGAACGCTACTTCATGCGCTGATAAATGTTCTGATGCTTGTAAATCTGAAATCGGCCGGAACATTTTGGGTGATGTGGGGTTCCCCGTCATTTGAACCTGAATTCGACCTTGAAGTGAGACTTCAAGAGAGAAGTGAGAGTTCATGACTTCTTGGCGCCCACTAGTTTATGCGCTGGGAAAGATTCTCATCCTTAGGATTTTGAAATCGGCCGGTGACTTAATTGCCGATCATCTAACCTTGAATGGTGGCTTTGAAAGGTCACGATTTCTTGACGGCCGCTATTTCGTGCATTGGTGGATATTCTGATGCTCAACACGCGCCTGGGTGGTCGGTTCGATACCCTTCGCTCGGGTTAGAGGGTCGATTTGACCCCTCTGAGATCTCAGTAACTAAGAGACACCAAATTCACAGGGTGTGCTGACGTATACGTGAATTTACCTAGGTCAAAGTTTGAGATTCCTAGGTCATGACCTTCGAGTCAAGTAAGGTCAAACAAGGCCAATCTCCAGGTTGGTTTCCAAAGATTCCCTAGAACCTAGATACCTGTTCTAAGCAAAAGTTCACGTGCGCATTTAAGGTCAGTGACCTTGCTTGACCTTTTGACGGTCATGGTGACCAAAATTTTACAGGACCGCCTTGAGATTTCCATTTGAATAAGCGACAAAGATTTCGCTGGGTGGTATGTTCCTAAAACAAATGTTGACGTGGGTCATTCTGTGTCAGTTACCTATTCTGACCATTAAGAAGTTCATGGAAGGCGTATAATGTGGTTCTTATTATCAATGAACCTGAAATGAGCACCAGATACTATTCCATACAACAGGCCCTAGAGTAATAAAACGGGTTGGTTTTGACCTTGAAATGACTTTCATACATGACCTTAGATCAATTCGATTTGTTCATTCAATTTTTTGTTGCGAAAAATAGCTCAGAAATGTATGGCTTCGTCTAACACTCCGTTGCTGGATCAGATTGAACGATTCCATAGAAATTGTCTTCGCTGAAACCATGGCCTGACTTTCACCTGCCATAGGTCAGCGACCTTACAAAATGCATCTAAGTGTTTGATGCCAGACGATCCACTGTTTAACTGTGAACAGCTACGCCAAATTTGGCGTGGCTATGCCAATTTTAAAACCAACGCCTTTCGGAAAACATTCCGGAGAAACCTTCGGGGGGTCAATTTTACCCCCACCCCAGCGCGTGTTAATAATCTGAAATTGGCCGGTGACTTTTGGGTGATGTCGAATTCCTTATCATTCCAGCCTGAATTTGACCTTGAATGGTAACCATGAGAGATCAGTACTTCTTTTCAGACGCTATTTTATGCGCGGAGGACAAAAATCGGCCGGTAACTTTGGGGCGATGTGGAATTCTCGGTCAATCGAATTGAAGAATGGTCTTGAGATACCAGTATTTTTACGAACGCTAGCCCATACATATGTGAATATTATCATTTAAAAACCGAAATAGGATGATATATTTTTGGTGGTATTAATCTCCCTGTAATTTGGCCTTGAGTTCAACATTGAGGGGGACGTGATATTGAAAAGCATACGTCAGATTTTCGGTGATGTTACGCCGTAACGGGCCATGTGACGGATTTCGGCCAAAATGGAGCCCGACACTAAATAAACTGCCTAATGCACAGCAAACTTCACGGATATGATGTTGACCGCCTGCCTCCTCTGTTTGCAGGACACGCGCCTGTCCTGCTGTCGGCCGGCATTCACAGCTTCCCATTCAAGCTGGGCCTGCCGCTGGGCCTGCCGTCGACCTTCCTGGGAAAGCATGGCTGGGTCCAGTTCTTTTGCAAGGCCGCTATTAAGGAGGACAGCGGGCTCGTGCACAAAAACCAGCAGGTCTTCATCGTTATGAACCCGATCGATCTGAATGTGGAGCCTCCAGTGCTGGCGGTGAGTGGGAAGAACCGGCAGACTGTTTGAGTCTCCAGTGATGACGGTGAGTGAGAGGAACCGACAGACTGCTGGAGCCTTAGTACTGGCGGCGAGTCAGAGGAACTGACAGACTGCTGAAGTCTCCAATGCTGGCGGCGAGTCAGAGGAGTCGGCAGGCTGTTGGAGCCTTTAGTGCTGGCGGTGGGTCAGAGGAACCGGCGGGCTGTTGGAGCCTTTAGTGCTGGCGGTGGGTCAGAGGAGCCGGCAGGCTGTTGGAGCCTTTAGTGCTGGCGGTGGGTCAGGGGAACCGGCGGGCTGTTGGAGCCTTTAGTGCTGGCGGTGGGTCAGGGGAACCGGCGGGCTGTTGGAGCCTTTAGTGCTGGCGGTGGGTCAGAGGAGCCGGCAGGCTGTTGGAGCCTTTAGTGCTGGCGGTGGGTCAGGGGAACCGGCGGACTGTTGGAGCCTTTAGTGCTGGCGGTGGGTCAGAGGAGCCGGCAGGCTGTTGGAGCCTTTAGTGCTGGCGGTGGGTCAGAGGAACCGGCAGGTTGCGTCACACTCTGCCGCCGACTGGAAGACAGACTGTTATTCCTAGCAATTTGACGTGACATTGCACAGCATCACTTCTTTCACTTCTTGTAGCATGCATCCGAGACGCCCCACAGACCTAACCGTAGTCATACGTTATGTGCACACCTGCGAGATAACGGTTTAGGTTTGAAGCCATGCAGGGTTTACCCACATGCAGCACGCAGTGAGTAAATAGAACTTATGTAATTTCTCAATGATGAAGACTTCCAACCGCAAATAAGATATTCATGAGTCAAGAAAGACGAGCATTTCAACTGGTTTGTGATGGCTTCAGATGTTCCGTGGTCCTCGGGCCAACGCGAGATCCGCTACGAAGTCAAAAGCAGAGATCATTTCCTGCTGAGGGCTGCTGACGTCTGCAAAAGACTAATGCCGTCTAGGGGCTAAGAGACAAGGTCCAGCACATCAAGAATGTAAAGCAATTTGCATCGAGGTAGATCTGCCGCACGCGGAAGCATCTGATCGGCTGGTTCGCCTCTCGCGCCTCTAGAGTCGGCCAGATGGGGGTGAGGGGCTCTCTGGCGCACCTCTGGTCGGCTGGTTCACCGCTCGTGCCTCTAGAGTCGGCCATCTAGGAGTGTGGGGGGGGGGGGTGTCTCTGGCGCACCTCTGGTCGGCTGGTTCACCGCTCGTGCCTCGAGAGCCGGCCGGCCGGCCGGGCGAGGGGGGGGACTCTGGCGCGCATCCGGGGCAGCAGCCTCCGCCGGACCGGTGAGCCGTCAGCGCCCGGGCCGGCCCGGCGCCGAAGCGTCTCATTTGCAAGTCAGATGGGCACGCCGGCCCGGGGCGAGTCCTGATTGGCCAGGCGGCCCCGGCTGCTGACCCCGCGACCCCGGTCGCCGGCCGCACGCCGAATTTGTCTGCTGGCCGCGCGGCCCGCTCGGCGCCTGCCCAGTGTCGGCCAGATGCTGCTCGACTGTCGATTATCACGGCGCTAATGACGTGGTGTGCTCCTTGGGAAATGGTCAGCCTTTTGGCGCGCGTTAGACAAAAAATCAGGCCGCAAACACGGGTGAAAGGAAACGAGGACGCGTAGTAGCGATTTATTTCGAGTACCGAGGCGGGGCGGTGCGATTTTGGTAATGGCTGCTCCAAGCAGCGTTTTCGGACGGCAGCTGCTGCTAACGGAACAGCGGTCGGTTTTCGGGCGTGGACGTGAGCGACTCAATTACCCGGCCTCCCACCGACCAAATCTCGGCGGTGGCGGAAACGGCGTCCTAGTGCCCGGAGTGGAGCGCCAGCTGCGGCTTGTCCACCTGACTGCCCGTCTCGGGGCGTGGCGCTTCCATGCTGATAGCCGTGGTGGAAGTGGTGACTTATCTATTTGCTGACTGTCTGAAGTGAGTGATAGGAACTGCAACGCTTCTGCACCTCACCGAACCGCCTGCGCGCTTGCGCCTTGTCTGCACGCGGGCGCCACCAGCGCACAACACCACGTCCACGCACACCATGCCCACCATGTAGGCCGTGTGGTGTGATAGAGATGTCTGGGAGGATGTTTTTCCATCGTTCGCGGCGTCTCGTCAGGAGGGCGGTCATTATCGGGTTTGGTTAACTTTTGACGCTTCGTTAAACACCGGTGCCCGGCTGGCGGCGGCGAGTGGTGGCTTTGGGCGGCGTTCGAGAACCGAGGGTGGTGGTGGGTGGTGGCCCTGAATGGCGCTCGAGGACCCAGGGCGGTGGCGGCCGGCGGCTCTGAAGTCCATGGCGGTGATGGGGTGGCGGCTCTGAGCGGTGCTGGAGGGCCGAGGGCGGTGGCGGGCGACGGCTCTGAGGTCCAGGGTGGTGGTGGGCGGCGGTTCTGAGCGGCGCTCGAGGACCGAGGGTGGTGGCGGGCGGCGGCTCTGAGATCCAGGGCGGTGATGGGCGACGGCTCTGAGCGGCTCTTTAGGACCGAGGGCGGTGATGGGCGACGGCTCTGAGCGGCGCTCGAGGACCGAGGGTGGTGGTGGGCGGCGGCTCTGAGATCCAGGGTGATGGCGGGCGGCGGCTCTGAGCGGCGTTCGAGGACCGAGGGCGGTAGCGGGCGGCGGCTCTGAGGTCCAGGGCGGTGATGGGCGATGGCTCTGAGCGGCGCTCGAGGACCGATGCCGGCTCGGTCCAGACACAGACAGCTGTAGCATCTCCCACGCTGTAACTGAGGATCATACACTGTGCCGGACTGGAAACTCTGGTGGAATGTGGGACCAATTGCGTACGTGCACAGCTGCCGTGTTGACTGAGTATTTCACTCAATGATGGCGGTGGTTCGATATTTTAGGGTACGTGGGCATCAGGGCCACTTTGCATCCGCACCCAACAGTTCACTCAAAGGTTCCCGATTTCCGAGCTCCTGTCCCGCGTATGAACCAGCGCAGCTCAGACTGGCAATGAATTGCTTTGAGCAACTCAATGGTGCGTTTGTGGTATTTTTAGCTGTCATCCAAATCTGGGCCGCACCGACTCTGCGCCAACAGCTGAAGGCGAAGGAACTCTGCGCTGAGCTAAATAATGGGGCATTGTTCTAGACACGATTCAATTTCGTGCTGTCATTTCGATTCCGTTGGTTATGGCCTTTGCTCCGACATCTAAAAAGCGCAAATCACCTGTGAGAGATGCTATCGACATCGTGGCTGGTGCTGTCAATCGATTAGATAAACATCGCTTTCCAACTTGACTTATCTCGTGTTGTGGTTACAGTTATGTGGTTTGCAGCTATTGAAATCGTACCCGAAGGCAAGCAGAATGCTTGCTAGTATCGGTGACGTGATCAAAGCCAACATACGCTTTGGGATGAATTTTGTATACTGCGGATGTGAAACATTGCTGACCACTCCCCCAGATGGATCCTCCCTACAAAAGATTCGTCACCACAGGTCTTACAAACGTGATCTTTCCGGACAGCCGGGCTAGCCCGTCAGTTGGCCGTGCTGCCGTCTTGTCCGTGCCCGCCCCCCTGACCGGAGTCCCGCTGCTGTCTTGTCCGCGCCCGCCCCCCCCCCCCCCCCTGGCCGGAGCCCGCTGCTGTCTTGTTTGTGCCCGCCCCCCTGGCCGGAGCCCCGCTGCTGTCTTGTCCGTGCCCGCCCCCTGGCCGGAGCCCGCTGCTGTCTTGTCCGTGCCCGCCCCCCCCCCCCCCCCCTGGCCGGAGCCCCGCTGCTGTCTTGTCCGTGCCCGCCCCCGCTGGCAGGAGCCCTGCTGCTGCCTCGCCCACAGCCCTCTCACCTGGCCGGAGCCCCGCTGCTGTCCTGTCCGTGCCCGCCCCCCTGGCCGGAGCCCGCTGCTGTCTTGTCCGTGCCCGCCCCCCTGGCCGGAGCCCCGCTGCTGTCTTGTCCGTGCCCGCCCCCCTGGCCGGAGCCCCGCTGCTGTCTTGTCCGTGTCCGCTCCCCTGGCCGGAGCCTCTGCTGGCTGTCTTGTTCGTGCCCGCCCCCCCCCCCCCCCCGGCCGGAGCCCCGCTGCTGTCCTGTCCGTGCCCGCCCCCCTGGCCGGAGCCCCGCTGCTGCCTCTCCCGCAGCCCTCTCACCTGGCTGGAGCCCCGCTGCTGTCTTGTCTTGTCTTGTCTGACCGGTGCGCGCTTTCCACAGCAACCTTTCCACTGCGAGATCGAGCACAAGCTGGGCCTGACGTGCGTGACGGCGGGAGCCGTGGTGTGCCGGGTGCGGCTGGACCGCGGCGGCTACGTCCCTGGAGAGACCATCGGCGTATGGGCCAGCGTCACCAACCACAGCAAGGTCACCATCAAGAAGACGGCCGCCTGTCTCAGCGAGGTACGGATCCAGCCACCGGCTGCATGCAGATGAACTGTTCACATGTTAGCATTTGGCTGTCATTACTCAATGAAATTCATGTATTTTTTTGGTGAATTCATCGTGTTGTATAATTACGTCATTGTGTGTAGTTACAGGCGATGAAGTTAGATTTTCGGGCAAAGCAGATCCGCAAAGCTAGTGCCATCTACTTTTGCATGCCGAAGTGAGCGTTGTGTCAGTTAACAAACGCTGCATTCTCTGGCTCAGGTCATGCCTGTATGGCATGCTCCCAGCACTATCGCCCGGCCACTGAACAGTTCCCGTCTACTTGCGTGTTATCGAAGTCACTAATATCGTTGCACCAGCGCACTATGTCCGTTTTGAGGATGAGTTCACGGTTCAAATGCACAGATCTGATGGGTTCACCCACCGGACTCCCAGCGTCCTAGGCAGACTGTGAACGTTAGGGGAGCAGAGGCGGCCGGGAGCGACACTGCGATGTGCGGCGACAACGCTAAATCTTCAAGTCATGAGCCATATATGCAGTAAACGTCATACTAGTCACAACGTGCTTCAGGCATATTCTGGTCAACTATCTGGCTTCTATCAACTTTCAACTATCAACACACGTGCTATTGACCCGCGTTTGCAGATTCCTTCAATAACCGCCTGATCTAGGTAGAGACAGCGAACCTTAATCGAAAGATCTCGGTGGGAGCCGACGCATAGCGGTGCCGTGAGGTGAGAATGAGCCATTCATCGACCACCACTGATAGCAACACTCTTACCGTCTTTCGATCTTCGGTGTACTGCGTTCCCCCTGACCATTGTCTGACGTCTGCCTCTCAGAGGTTGGTCTGCTGAGAGCGAGTGGCCCCGACCACAGCGGCACGAGTCTCTCACCAGGCGCAGGTATGCGCTATTGACCTTGTCGGAGCCGGCGCAAACCCACAGAGTTTAACGTGTAGAACAGCAAGTCATGCTGACCTGAGAACACAACCACTGTGCTACGGCCGGGCTTTGTAGTCAGGTACGAACGCTGAAAATGTAGACATAAATTGTCATGACCCGTTTAAGAGTTAACACGCCAGTCGTGATTATTTGTGCAGCTGGAAATGAAAAGGTCTGAAAATGGTGGGATTTAAGTTACTTGTTTACTGACGTAAACTTGCATGGTTGGCTTGCAAGTTTCTTCTGGACTGAACTTTTTACTGGCTAGTTGTGTTATGAGACAGCAATTGTCACATAAACTCACTGAACATCACCATCCCGCTCGCTGGGGAGGCATCTGGAACCTTAAGCGCTATCGTTGAGTAATATCTTTAGCTTTTGGAAATCAGGAGCACATCTCGGTCTTGATGAAACACCACTTAACGTTTTATTGCTTGAGATATTTATGCCATGCGGCGTGCGGTACCATGTGAGGCTTACTGTTAGATATCGACCGAGAGAAAAGATGCATCTGGAAAAGGGCACCAACAAATCTTTAAGCACGCTATTGTTGTAGTATCGTTTCAACAGTTCCATGATTTCAAAAATATCGTCTACGGCTAATCTTAAGGCCTATTAATTCCATTGACATTGAGGTGTGAAAAGCTTGTTTAAAGCCCGCTACAGCGGGTGCGGCCATTCTGGCGAGCGGTGGCTGCGGCGGGTGGGCCCAGCCCGGCTCGTGACCAGGAGCTGTGGTGGGCGTGACCAGCCGGTGCTGGCGTCGCCCGGCCACCCCGGGCACCGAGCACCCGGTGCCGTGCCCGGGTGGCAGGTCGGCCACGCTGACACCGGCCACCCCCGGGCACCGGGCACCCGGTGCTGTGTCCGGGTGGCAGGTCGACCACGCTGACCCCGGCCAGCCTCGGACACCGGGCACCTGGTGCCGTATCCGGGTGGCAGGTCGACCACGCTGACCCCGGCCGGCCGGGCCCGGCTGACGCCGGCCGACGGCTCTCCTGCAGCGGTTAACATTCCACGGCCAGCCGGCGCCGTGATGGATGCACCGCTCGGGACTGGCGCCGCCGTCCCGATAAAAGAGGCGCACATTAGCCCACTTACGCGGAAAACAGGGGTTAATTTAGGCGTGCACCAGCTCGCGACACGGGCAGTATGGCGCGCACGCACCGGGAGGCTGGGAGACCGGGCACACCGGGAGGTTGGGCGCACCGGAGGCTGGGTGCACCGGGAGGCTGGGCGGCTGGGAGGCTGGGTGCACCAGGAGGCCGGATGGTCGGGTGGCCAGACGGCCGAGAGGTGGGCGCGCCGGAAGGCCGGGCGGCTGGGAGGTTGGGTGCACTGCGACCCCGGGCAGCCGGGAGGCCGGGCAGCCGGGAGCGATGGAGCGCTGGCCAGGCTCACCACACCGCCGCGCCGGTGTCTGATTATGTTAGTCTGCTGATCCGCTGATGATGTCGCTGTCTGATCTGATGAAAACATCGCTGTCTTTATGTGAGACAGGTGCTTTAATCTCAATAACTATGGAGGAGGTTGTGCGCGGACACGACTCACGTGATCATATGGAACAAAAGCGGACATGTTTTTTGCGAATAGGGCTTGGAACCAGTCCGATAAATTCATCAAGCTTTCCAAAATAATCTCACGGTATTGTTTCACTCTGCTGCACCAAAGTTGAGGCATACTAGTTGTAGCAATCTAGGCGGGACATTCGAGTAAGCACACGTCACGACTGCTCCTCTTCTGTGTAAATGTGTCTCTGGGGAGCGTATAAAGTCATGTTACGTTACGTTACGTTAACGCCTGCACCTTTTCAGCGCCAATTCAGTGCACGTTTCGAGTTGCTCTCTGTTGACAACATGATCGTGATGCTGTTGGGTGTGAGGATGTGCGTGCGCCGTGCACAAGCACATTCGGGCATGTCCCTTCCGGCATAGTCCGCGCTCCGTCTCTGATTGCTTTGTTTTGCTAAAGGGCACAAATGTCCTTGGAGCTAGAAGTCCGTGGACTTAGTTTTGGGAAGGACTAGGGCGCTTACTCCGCACTATCAGTATACCGGACGCGTCCGGCGTCCTACTCTCCGAAAGCTTCACGTATATGTCACGTGACGCCGCGTCATGAGTCGCGTGTTCTCTGATATGGCTGAAACATGTGCTTGAATGTTAAACCACTATTTGTTTGTGATCTGGTGAGGCATTTCACAATTACCACTAATTTTCTCCCAAGCTCTGATCATTCCTGTATTGAAAACACACGCACAAACCTTGGTTTACGTGCAGTTTTGCGTTTTGACCTGTCCAGTAAAAGTTTCTGTCCGCCTTGTATGCCACATAACTAAATAACTATGCGCTGAACCATGGATGAAATATAATCCAGCTCTGTATGGAATCACTGTTTCGTGGAAAACTGCAATGACAGGAACACTATGCGACTCATGGTGAAGGACACATTCGCGTCAACGGTCCTACACAACTGCAGCCATGTTTAAATGGACACCCACCTACACTGCAGCTGAGCTAGCCCGATGAAGCCGGCCGGGTGCGGCGAGTGAGTGACGGGCACGTGCCGGGCCGGTGCCCTCTGCCGAGCCCTCTGGTGGCAGCCGGGTCAAGCTCGCGCTGAGCGGCCACCGCCAGCCGCATACTGAACAGCTGCGACTCCGCGTCGCCCATGCATTACTTATGAGCGGCCGGCCAGCGGACCTCCCCGGCCGGAAAATATGGCGCTTGGGTTACAGAGCATGTGTTTGAAGCCCGTTTAACAGTATGTAGGCCCTCGTAAGTCAGTGTTGATGCATGCGCTTACTTAGCGGTGATTTGTCTTACCACACGAACACGTAAAACCTGACTACATTTCCTCGAATTCTGTTTTGTCGGCGGTAGGACGTCCCTTTGCCTGCCATCAGCATGGTCTGCTAGTGAAAGATGATAGAAATAGACGACTCAGACCCGGCGGGCACGCATTCTCGTCACGTCGGCGAACTGCCGATATCTATCCCGTCGATTACTCTTTAGTCAGAGATGGGGCTCAAAGAAGTTGACAGGGAGGCTAGGAGATACCTGGGCTCGTTTACATGCATTTTATAGCGTATCACCATTGGTCGTATCTAGAACTCTGATGTTGGCAGCTGGGACTAAATCTGATGAATGTTGGTTCATTTCTACCCTACATTGAGAGTCATTCAGGCTCATGGGTATGCAGACCTATGTTAGTTTCGCCCCAGGGAGTTTACTGTCTTGCACCCCCAGACAACGGGCACTGAATGCCTCTAAGTTGAAGGGAGCGGAGCGGAGGTGGTTTACAAACCTGACGTCTTTCCCGATGCGCGCGTCTCTTCCCAAGGGTCTTCTTGCGGCAAGCGCTCGGATGAAAATGGACGTGTTAACTAACGAGGGCACTTTGTGTTCCACATGTTCCGCATATGTTCCGAGGTGCATGTGTTCCTTTTCCAGACCATACACTACTTGTCACGGAGCAAGATCGTCAACACCGAGAGGAGAGAGCTGTCAAGGGTAACGCGCGGCAAGATTCGCGCCGGCGAAACGGACGACTGGAACAACGAGCAGTTGTTCGTGCCGCCCCTGCCTCCCACTAATCTCCGCGGGTGCCATCTCATTAAGATCCAGTATGACGTCTTCGTAAGTATCTGGCGAGATCCAGACAGCGTGAGAGTAATCCACATTTCGGGGTTATATGATACAGATTGTTCTTGACATCACGCAAAGCAACCTGCATGTCCGCAGTTCTGACTGATTTACACCATTGCATGTTTAAAGTTTATCTGTTGTCTTTATATCACACATGAGATGGCTTTGAGATATGTTTAAGTATGACAGGTGCGTAGTTGCATATCAGAGCCATGATTAGTGGCCAAAGGAGCCACAAGGGCTATTTCGTCCTTGGTTTAAAATCATCTCACGTCGTAAAAATCAGTAGAAAGGACCCAGAACAGAAGAAACGGCTTAAGATCATGATGCATTTTTGTTTTTTTATGAAAATCAGACAAGTGCCGTGAAAACAAAAGTCGGTGACAGCACTTATTTTAGGATATACCCAGGGCTGCTCCCGATGAGTCATGACGAAACAGCACGAAGCGTGCTAGCATGCCTATAATAATGCCACGATTGTAGTTGCACGTCTCAACCGCCAGAACCATTTCAACACAAAAGCCTTGATTATGTGTCACGTGAGACGCAGTAGTGGCGTGACCGGAACTTGAACCCAGCATCGACGGGTACAGAGCTGAGCCCTGTGACCACTACACCACCACCACCGCCTCAGTCCTCACGTGCTCGAGGGGCGCTATGCCCTCCGGGCATTTCCTGGCCGAACCCGCTGCCGACCGGAAGTGCGGTTTGGCTTACAGCAGGCTTGCTCGCTTTCCCTTTCCTCTCCCTACAGCTGGCCACGTCTCTCCAGACATTCTTTTTTCCATATCTCCATCTCCTTTGATTTTCCTCTGCTGTCCTCGTTTTTCATCTTTTGTGTCTTTGTCACAGTTTGCACTTTCCATTTTTATGGTCCTTTTGTTTGCCTCTGACTACAGAGACACGCACCGTGCTCATTACGCTCCATCCACTCGGGCGAGCTGGGGTACGTCCGCGTACTGGCGAAACCTCTGCGTGCTCATTTGAATTCAGCTTGCGCTTGGACGACGCGGCCAAAAAGGGTCGCTGAAAGGTGCACACCGCTTGGAACGCGTCCAGCTTTCGAAGCGCCCTATCGCCACGTCGCATGCTGGCGTGCGTGACATTATGAAGGTGCCTTTTTAGAGCGCAGTACTTTCTCATCAAGACTGCCATGCCGTGTGCTTTGAAAGCCAAAACTATGATGAGTACGACAGTGACTGCTCCCTTTGGAAGACATGTACACCATATGCTATATATATACATGTATATATATATGCATATATATGTATACATATCAGTATATAGGTATATATATATATATATATATATATATATATATATATATAGTTATATGCTTAGGTGTATATATTAACCAACATAATTTATAAAAGAGCACGTCACTGCACATTTGCAGCCTGAAATGTGACTCACCCATGTTCGACTAACTCACCGAGCCTCATGACTCACCCAAGTCTCAGCCCCAGCGAAATGACTGCAGTGTTTGTGAACGCGACCCGCATCGCTGATGGGTGCACACACCCGCTGGCCCATGAAAAGTATGTGTGTTGGAAGAGCATGAACATCGCTGCACCGACGTACACGTTCAGTCCTGTGAAAACACGTGCTGCGCGGTGGCGCGCTACACTCGCACGCACACCGGTGAATCGCCATAACTCCCAACCCACTTATGGTAACCGTCCTATTTGCACGGCGCTCGTAAACAAGCGTAATTGGCCAGTGATCACAGGTCTTGCAAATGACGTTGGGCACTACCTCAAACTGTGCCACCGCACCCCACGTCCCCTCTGAGCGGAATCCCGGTTGGGGAGCCGACTTCGTGGGAGCCGATGCGACTGGGCTTGCCGGATCCTCACCCTGTGACCTACCTGAAGGAGCCTACCCATGGAAACGGGCTCGAGGGTCTGGCTTTGTTCCAGGCCGTTCGTAGCCTTAGGGCGGATCACCTCGTCACTGGGCAGGAAAGCGTGACATCCAGCTAGCTGACCGCCGTGAACGTGCATGCCCATGTTGGAAAATAACGCCATCTACGTGACCGTCAGCATGACGAACCGCAAACCAGGCGACGACCATCTGAGGGCCCTGTTCAGCAGACATGTCCGGGCATTGGGAGACCGCCGGACGGCTAGACCGTTAGACGGGTCCGGTCCTGGGAGGACCGCCCGCCCGCAGTCTGCTAACGTGTCCAGCTTCGAGCAGACGGTCCGAGGCACGGCGCCTCTCGAATGTGTCCGGGCCCGGGCACGCGCCAGCCGTGTGGACCGGCCGGAATCCGCCGGGGGCGGCGGCCGTCGCGGCCGTCAGCAGGCGGTCGCAGCGGTGGGGTGTGGGCCGGGGAAGGCCGCTAACGGGCGCACACAGTCGTAAACGGCGAACGACACACGCCGCGTGCCCACCGCCCCGAGCCGCGCCGGCACGCCGACCGCCCAGGAATGCGGCCGCCGCAGGACCGCGGGGCCTGCGCCGCGGGCGCCCCGTCCGAAGTATGGTGGGCAAGTCGCTCTGGCGGCCCGGAACAGGTCGCTCCTGGCGGCTCGGGGCAGGTCGCTCCAGACGGCTCGGAGCAGGTCGCTCTGTACGGCTCGGGGCAGGTCGCTCCAAACGGTCTGAGCAGGTCGTTCCTGGCAGCTCGGGGCAGGTCGTCCCTGGCGGCTCGGGCCAGGTCGCTCCAGACGGCTCGGAGCAGGTCGCTCCGTACGGCTCGGGGCATGCCGCTCCAAACGGTCTGAGCAGGTCGTTCCTGGCAGCTCGGGCAGGTCGCTCCGGACGGTCTGAGGCAGGTCGCTCCGGACGGATCGGGGCAGGGCCGCTGCGTTGAAGCGATGCATTGACAGGGTTGGCTGGACCGGCGGCGGATGAGGGCTTACACGGCGCTGTAGGCGTAGCGGCTTGGGAAAAACACTTGCTCGGGGCCGTTTCATCACGCATCGCATGCAAGGCCGATTTAAAAAATACGCCACAAAAGACGAAGACACCAAAGGCTCCCTAGATTTCTGTCACGCAAATACATTCATCAGTAACACGTCCGTCATGCCATACGTGTTTGGCGTGGTTTATCGGTGTCACCGCGAATTGACGTGAAAGTGCGACGTCGAAGTTTTCTAGGTTGTTTCAGTGTTATGAGCTACGTCGAAATGAACGATCTGGAATATACTGGTTAAATGACGTTGATCAGCTGGGTTTTATAGCGCGTCGACTGCGTAGTCATATGGAACCCAATGAATAAACGACGCTGTACAGCATTGATTGGTATACGCATTGGTATACGAGGGCGTGTTTCAAAGCAGTGCTCATGGTCGTGGTTGAACAAGGTTAAGTGAAACTGAACGTTGGAATTCATATGGAACGTAAAAGACAGAAATCTTGGGAACCTGCGCATGCTTCGACAAAGAAGCGATGTCAAAACAGTCAGCCACAAAGATCACAAAGCACATCGCACGTCCCATATCACAAATCACACAAACACACAAATACAAACAAATCTAAAGAAACCCAGGATATTCGTCCCAATGGCTCATTTGGTTAGAGCGCCTGCCTCGTGATCCACCTGCCCGTGGCGGGATGGGCTTGAGTCGCTATAGGCGTTGACTATTTGCCCTTGACAGGCATGGCCTGCGGCCGGTAGCAGCGGCCGCCATCAGGTCAGACGACGTCAGGGGGTAGGACGGACCGTGCCGTATTGTATTGTATTGTATTGTATTGTATTGTATTATATAATGTATATTACAATTTATTATATTATATATAATGTATATTATATTATATATGTGTAATATAATATAATATTATACAATATAGATACAATATATATTATATATAAATATATATTGAGTATTGCGGAAGCATGCGAGCGTCTTTTGACACCAAATTCTGCCGTTGGCTTGGAATTGCGCGATCGGATGGTAGGGGTCAGGGCTCACACAAGCACTGCTTAGCGTGAGCTCTGATCCCAGAAATCCATCCATTCAAAAGGTTCGGATTAAGCGTTAAAATTTTTCTAGCTCCCACATACTAACACCATGTGCACGGAACTGCCCTGCAAACTGTGCACTATAGAGCTTGCTATGGCCAAGAACCTTACCATTCGCCCTGATTCACCTTTTCATAACGCAGACTGATAGATGGTTGAAGGTCGATGCGTCCCGCTGGCGTTTCCGAACCAACACGATGGAGCTTAGGGTGTTTTTGTGTCGCACAAGATGGACAATAGGCTATTGAAAATTTAGCCGCATTGCACAACACCCCGGGAGGTCCCCCCCCCCAAACGAGGGTTAATGGTCCCGACCCAACAACGCAACCCAACCAATCAGGGCGAGTGATAATGAGCTCAACCGAATGCGAGGTCAAGAACATCGGTGCCGTCCTTGCCGCGTGGATACTTGTTTCGGGGACCCCTTAGCATGGCGCCGGGCATGGGTTGTAAGGGTCTGGTGCCGGACCAACTGCAATGCTATTTTTGGTGGGGGGGGGGGAGAGAGAGAGAACTGCCGATCTAACCTGATACACAGTTTGAGCGCATCTGTGAAGTTGGATGCTGATTAGAGCTTAGAGTCTTCTGGATCGTGTCATTCTCTATCTTTCACGCGCCTTTGTTTTTTAATCAAAGCTAGTACTCACGCCCGTGACCGTGACCAGCCTTCAACCGCTGAGTTTTTCCCATAATGTATACGAAATAGTGCTTCTTTACACCGTTGAAGTACCCACTCGGCTATTGAAGATGTCATTTTGAATAAATAGGTTGTAATGGAATGATATCGCCCGCCAGGATATATTTTCGGGTGCTTTGAGTACTGTATTTGGGCGTTGTTTTACATTATATACGAGAAGCATGCCTGTGAATCTGGCCGGCCACAAAAATGAAAAGACAAAGCTCAGTATCAATTCATGTCGAGTTATTGACGTTGTAACATACCGCACGACAACCGACTACCGCAGCGACCGCTCGGTGCGTGCTGTCCTGACCACCCACGCCTCTCACTGCAGTTCATCATCAAGCCGGACAACCTGGAGAAGGAGATCAAGCTGCAGCTGCCGATCATGATCGCCTCCTACCCTTATCGCAACGCCGACGGCACCCTGAGGAGGAAGCGGGGCGCTGAGTACCCGGCTAGTCTGCCGGTCTTCCGGCCCTGGCTCGACGTCAAGCAGAAGGTGCTCGTCTAGCGCCGCGCCCCGCCTGGCGCCCGCTCTCGTTGGTCGTGATGCTGAACGGTGTGCCACGTGACCGCCGCCAGAGAGCCACCAGGAGCCTGGGAAGCTACCCCGTCCATGTGGTGCCGGCCGGTGGCAGCGCCGCGCTTCGGTGCCCGTGGCGATGCGCCACTGCCGTCACGTGACAGGCCCGATGTGAGAGGCGGCGGCAGCGGCCGGGACGGGAGCCAGGGCCCGCCAGGATTGATCACCGACGCGGCCGCACTGCCGTGCCAGTAATTGTCGGCGAACCCGATCGTAACACCGGCTCATTATTTTAAATCCTGCGTGATGAATCGCGTGCTTAACGGAGAGATTCCAGTGGCGGGCCGGATCTCTTCACACCAGCTGATGGCGGCTGAGCGGCCACCAGCTGAGTGCTGGTACACAGGGGGTGACCCCCGTCCCCCGTGGATGGCGAAGCTGCGTGGCGACGGCCGGTCCCACCGATGGCCGACTGTGCGGACGCCACCCAGTGATATGCGTCTTTGTTGCGATGTGACGGATGTGACGGTCAGGCGTCGCTGGCCACCCCCTGACCGTGACACGCGCGCCGTGCCCTCGCCACCGCGGTCTGTGGACACCGCCAATTGGTCTTGGTCGGGTCGGGCCTCTAGGTGAGATGGACATAGCTTTCGAATAATTACTTGCGTTGTTACGAAGCGTACGGCCCAGCACTTCTGTAACGGCCCGCGCATAATCACGACGTTTGCGTCCCACTTGACTTCGGAGGCTGACGGCAGTTTCTGTAATGATGCTGCCACAAATCAAGGCAATCTTAGTTTATGTGCCCAAAGTTGACAGATCGTTAGCCAGCATTCCTGTTAAGTGATGATAAGAACTTGTTTATATGTGTACGCGTCGCGGCGTTGCTATGCGATGACGGGCATAGAACTCGTCTAACGACTCACGAGACTTTCCGCGTAAATCTGCGTCGTTCCGCGTTCCAAACTCGTGTTATCAGTTCGTATATTATTAACCACAGTATCGGCAATAACACATAACACAAATATGAAATGCGCTGTGTGGTCAAATGACACGACGGCGAGGTTACGAGAGTGCCGCGGGTACAGAGCGTCGATCCGCATCACCGCGATTCACCGCATCACCGATGACCGCACCACCGAGATCTGATCCCCAGCGCTTAGCCTGGCGACCTCCACTCTCCTATCCGAGCCCGGCCCCACTCCGGTTTGGCCGCGCCGGACTCGCCTGCCTAGCTCCACAACAATGACACATGAAGGACATGTCTGCGGGCTACAGCCACTCCCAGTAATCGCATGAGTACAGTACACCATAACGCCTGACGACTACAGCCGGGTCCAACACCTGGTTGCTGCAGCGGTCTGACAACTACAGTCAAGCACCACATCTGACGGGTACGGTCTGGCACCGCATCTGGCGGGTACGGTTTGACACCACGTCTGACAGGCACGGTCTGGCACCGCATCTGTCAGGCACGGTCTGACACCGCATCTGACGGTCACGGTCTGACACCGCATCTGTCAGGCACGGTCTGACACCGCATCTGACGGTCACGGTCTGGCACCGCATCTGTCAGGCACGGTCTGACACCGCATCTGACGGTCACAGTCTGGCACCGCATCTGTCAGGCACGGTCTGACACCGCATCTGACGGTCACGGTCTGACACCGCATCTGTCAGGCACGGTCTGACACCGCATCTGACGGTCACGGTCTGACACCGCATCTGAAAGGCACAGTCTGACACCGCATCTGACGGTCACGGTCTGACACCGCATCTGACAGGCATGGTCTGGCACCGCATCTGACGGGCATGGTCTGGCACCACATCTGACGGGCACGTTTGAGCAGCATGGTGGCATTAGTGGGAAACGTCTGGAGGTCGGCCGAGTAACACAGCGTATAGAAACACTCATGAATGCTACAGTCTATTACCGCGGGGCAGCGCTGTATCTGAAAACTTGTCTAGTGTCACGTCCGATGCTCCAACCCAGTCAGATGTGGTGCTACAGCCAAGCGTCACGTCTGATGTTAAGCTCAGCGTCACATCCGAGCACTGGTTTCTTTGCGCATCGGGAGACATGACAGGGGACGTGGTAGGCTTCCACCCCTGCTGGCTTCAATCACAGCGGAACGCCGGCGTCACGTGAAGACCACCCGAGCCTCACATCTGATCGCTACCGTCCGCGACGCCAGCAGCGCCGCCGTCTCTGGGCCCACCGCCGGGCGCCAGCAGCGCCGCCGCCCCCGGCCAATCGCGGAGTGTCGGCACCAGCGGCGGCCGCTCGTGTGGCAGCCTCACTCCTCGAGGAAGGTGGCGAACACGGCCCATACTGTTGGCGGTGGAGGTGGCTGCCTCGGCCTCCTGGTCCAGGTGCGCCGGCTGGTCCTCATACGTCACGGCCACCTGGCGGTCACGAAGGCAACTGTGGGTACGCTGAGTGGCACACCAGTGATGGGCTTCGCAGGCTTGGGGACCTTAATCACATTAGCAGTCATGTCCTTTAGACCAGTGACAGAAGCCCATCAAGACACGGTGTATTATTTGATTGAATACGTGCTGTGCAAACAGTTTGTTCAAATATTTGCGTGATGTTTCTAAAACTATATTGCGAATATGCCACAAAATTTGCCTACATGATCGGGCCAAATAACTGATATTGCATTCATGTACTCGACATTCGATGCGGAATTCAGTTTTTAATTCGTTAAAAACTGCATGACCAAATCAAACCCGAGCATGCATAAGTACGCACATACACGCGCCGAACGGTATCAACGAAGCTTTCGAACATCAACTATCATAGTTTCCGGTTGTTCTAAAACTATTCTGACCTGTTTGTCCAAAATATGAGGCATGCGTGCAGCAAACCAAAGCTAGCGTATTTGCTTTGATGCAGTCTGAGAATAGCTACTACTGACATTGCAGGGCACACACTATTTGTGAACGCCTCTCTCGCGACCTACCTTGAAGCTTAAAGGAGGACGTCACTGTCCAGCGGCCAGTTTGGAATCCGAACCGCGATAAGGTTTGTTTGCCGCCCTCTAACCGACAAATCAGGGACCCCGCCCAACACAAGCGGACCTGTAGTTGTTCGGACCGTCAGCAAAACCTTCCGCTTGAGGTCAGACGCGTGTCCCAGCAGCAGAGGCAGAGAGTGGCGGCCGAAGGTAGACCGGGCCTGCTTCGAAGTCGCCATCCGAGGGCGACGAGAAGGCGCTCTCCAGCGCATGGGAGGCGTGCGAAGGCATAATCAGCGCCAGCACCCGCCTGCCCAAGTGCTGGGCGTCGCTGGTCCACCTGCTGAGTACGGCGTCCTACGACTGGAGCGCCACAGCGATCGGTCAGCGGTTGGGCTGTGGTCGGTTAGCGGTTAGCCGGTGGTCGGTCCGCGGTCGGTCAGCGGATGGTCAGAGGTCGGTCAGCGGTCGGTCAGCGGTCGGTCGGACGTCAGCCAGCGGTCTGTCAGCGGTTGGTCACCGGTCGGTCAGCGGTCGGTCGGCATTCGGTCAGTGGTAGTACAGCGGTCGCCCAGCCAGCGGACGGCACGGCGCCACCACCAGAGGAGGCGCGCCACAGACTGCCAATGCACACTTGTGGCAGCCGTTGCCAACAGATATCACAAAGGAGGGATAGTAACCAGTAACGTCACATGATACGTGACTTGTGGCAGGCAAATCATACACTACAGTATCCGTTAATTTATCGGCAGACGTGGCCAGCATACGGTATAATATATAATACGTTATGATACAACACAACTATACAACACACGTACACACACACACAAATATATATATATATATATATATATATATATATATATATATATATATGCATATATATGATATCACAAAATGAATACAATCATCCGTTCTGCTGAATGGTGCACTGTTTCCAAGCTCATTTTCTGAGCTCTCCAACATCGTAGCCATCCTGTGTAGCTGTTTGATGCGCACCATCGCCGCTCTCCCAACGCACAGCGATGGCTCTCCAAGGAAGATCGCACTTCACGAGCACCGTTGCCAAACTGCCGGTATGGGCGGGCGGGGGAAGGGGAGAGGCGATGTGCTGACCCTCCTCATCAGGTGCAGCTTGGCCTGGCTGTCTATCACCGAGTGCGTGATCATGTTGAGCAGCAAAATAGAAGTAGCTCCGCTCCTTGGTGGTTAGCACGCCCCTTTCCACTGGTTCTTCGCCGGCCGTTCGCACATGTAAAGCTGGCAGTACAGCTTCAGCGGGTTCCATGTCTCGTCTGCGACAAGCGGGCCTCCATGCTGTCCCGGATTGGTTTCATTCGTTTCGTTCTCGCTCCTCCATCATAATATCTGTTGGCGACGACTGCCACAAGTGTGCGTTGGCAGTCTGCGGCGGGCTTCGTCTGGTGGCGGCGCCGCGCCGTCCGCTGGCCGGGCGACTGCTGACCGATGCTGACCGACTGTTGACCGGTCGCTGGCCAACCGCTGACCGACCTCTGACCATACGCTGATAGACCGCTGACCGACGTCTAACCATCCGCTGACCGACTGCTGACCGGTCGCCGGCCAACCGCTGACCGGCCGCTGGCCGACCGCTGACCGATCGCCGTGGCGCTCCAGACGTAGGGCGCCGTACTCAGCAGGTGGGCCAACGACCCCCAGCACTTGGGCAGGCGGGTGCTGGCGCTGATTATGCCTTCGCACGCCTCCCATGCGCTGGAGAGCGCCTTCTCGTCGCCCTCGGATGGCGACTTCGAAGTAGGCCCAGTCTGCCTTCGGCCGCCACTCTCTGCCTCTGCTGCTGGGACACGCGTCTGACCTCAAGCGGGAGGTTTTGCTGACGATCCGAACAACTACAGGTCCTCTTGCTTGGGCGGGATCCCTAATTTGTCGGTTCGAGAGCGGCAAACAAACCTTATCGCAGTTCGGATTCCAAACTGGCCGCTGGACAGTGACGTCCTCCTTTAAGCTTCCACGTGTAGGTCGCGGGAGGGGCGTTCACAAATAGTGTGTGCCCTGCAATGTCAGTAGTAGCTATTCTCAGACTGCATCAAAGCAAATACGCTAGCTTTGGTTTGCTGCACGCATGCCTCATATTTTGGACAAACAGGTCAGAATAGTTTTAGAAGAACTGGAAACTATAATATTTGGTGCTAGAAAGCTTCGTTGATGCTGTTCGGCGTGCTTATGTGCGTACTTATGTGCTGTGCTTATGCTCGGGGCTGACTTGATTCAATAGTTTTGTTTGCTAAGTTGGCACTGAATGCCGAATTCTATTTCGCATTAAGCGCCCACTAAATGATTGAAATATAGCATTCATTTGGGAAAATTATGCAGGCAAGTTTTGTGGCATATTTACAACATATTTTTAGGAGCATAAGAACTTTTTTAGGAACTTAGGAAGTTTTCCAAGTGGGCAAAGCCCG